CGTGCGTGTGTGTGCGTGTGTGTGTGTGTGTGTGTGTGTGTGTGTGTGTGTGTGTGTGTGTGTGTGTGTGTGTGGTCTTGCTGGCTTCCTCCATCTGTCTGCCACCAGGAGTTCTTGTCACCTCAGAGGAAATGAAGTGTGACGTCCTCGCTTCTCTACATGTTTTTTTTTGTGTGTGTATGCATGTGTGCGTGCATGTATGCGTGCGTATGTGTGTGTGTGTGTGTGTGTGTGTGTGTGTGTGTGTGTGTGTGTGTGTGTGTGTGTGTGTGTGTGTGTGTGTGTGTGTGTGTGTGTGTGTGTGTGTGTGTGTGTGTGTGTGTGAGAGAAAGCTTTGCTCTGACAGAGTGGGCGTCTGCCAGCCGGATAAATTCCCACCACAAGGTTGACCAAATACGGTTAACATTCAGTTAACAGCTCGGCTTTTCAAACCCAGAACCTCATCCTGAAAAGGACCAACGCGAAACACACCAGAGCAACGGAGCAACGGATGGATGGATGGATGGATGGATGGATGGATGGATGGATGGATAGATGGATGGATGGATGAACGGATGGATGGATGGATGGATAAACGGATGGATGGATGGATAAACGGATGGATGGATGGATGGATGGATGGATGGATGGATGGATGGACAGATGGATGGATGGATGGATGGATGGATGGATGGATGGATGGATGGATGATGGATGGATGATGGATGGATGGATGGATGGATGGATGGATGGATGGACGGACGACGGATGGATGGATGGATGGATGGATGGATGGATGGATGGATGGATGGATGGATGATGGATGGATGATGGATGGATGGATGGATGGATGATGGATGGATGATGGATGGATGGATGGATGGATGGATGGATGGATGGATGATGGATGGATGATGGATGGATGATGGATGATGGATGGATGGATGATGGATGGATGGATGGATGGATGGATGGATGGATGGATGGATGATGGATGGATGGATGGATGATGGATGGATGGATGATGGATGGATGGATGGATGGATGGATGGATGGATGGATGGATGGATGGATGTGATGGATGGATGGATGGATGATGGATGGATGGATGATGGATGGATGATCAGAATGAAAGTTTTGATCTTTGAAAATTTAAAATTTGTGGGATTTTTGGTTGAATTGTTGAAAGTCGAGGCAAATCAAACAACAATATGAAAATAAATCAGAAAATAGAAAAAAGAAGTGAACTAAATCCTGAAGTTCAAAATTATTGTAGCATAAATGATCAACATAACAATCCTGCGATGGTTTGGGCCTGATTGGTCATTCACTATTGATGAGAGGGATTATTAAATCCTCTGCGTGTGTTCAGATTAATAATCTTTCTTTGCTCTCAGTATGATTATCTGGGAAGATTAGATGAAAACAATTAAAGGTTTTCAAGCCAAACAGTTGAGAACAAAGTTATAAAATCCACTGATTAATGTTTTTAAAATGTAAAATGAAGTTCCTTAAATATAATTCCAGTCCTGCAGTTTCATCTGCAGTCGCTTTTCTGAGCATGAAGCCAAACAACGAGTCAATCTGGAAACACATTAGCGTGTAGCAGAGGAGCAGCAAACTGCCATAAAGCTGCCAGATGAGGCAATAATAAAACAGACACGTAAAAAGTGTTGATCCTGAGCGTGTCTGGGACGTTAACGAGCTCGTCGGGCCCGGCAGAACCGAGCAGGGTTCTCCGCAGCGCCGCCGTCTGTTAACACATTTTTTATGATGGCGGGGAGAAATTAGATCACACTCCCACAAAAGCTGCTCCGTTTTTAAAATTTGCACCTTGTCTGAATTTGAACGTTGAAAAGGTGTTAAAGTTTTTACATATTTTCTGTTTTTACTGAAATCATGACAATGGAAAAGTAAGAAGGTCTCATTCAGGGATGAAACTGGACTAACTGGGGTCAAAGGTCAGGTTTTAGGGGTTGTGGGATTAAAGGTGAGATTTGACTGTTGAAGACGTTGACGTGTTTTTGGGTCTGAAGTCTCGTGCTGCTGACGGGCCGAGTCCTGGGTCAGAGCTCTGCAGACGACGCTTCCTCTCTGCTCATAAATGAAGCCCATGCATTATTCAGGGAGGCTCCCTGAGCTAATGCTCAGTAATGTTCCCAAACAGCCATAATGTTCCCAAACAGCCATAATGTGTCCAGCAGGAAGGTGTCTGGCCCCATCAGCCTCCAGACCAGACTCCGTCACCGTCTCTCTGATCCGCTCTGAGATTCTGCAGAACATCCAGTTCACTTTCCATCCAAACTCTTAAACTCTTTCCCTCTACGTCTCCCTCGCTCTCTTCATCTCTTTTATTGATCATTAAATGTAAAGGTGAGAAACTTTTCCTCCTCTTTTGCGTCACTGAGCTCATGATCCGCAGGGTGAGGATTTTTGTTGTTGAGCCTCTAAACGTCGTAATCTCTTCAGCTTTTTCAGAGGAAATGAAACAGATTTCTTACAGAGGCAAACAGAAAGTCTTTGGAGAAATAAGAAAAAAAGAGGTAAAAGAACATAAAATCAGCTAACGGCAGAGTGTTTATTGCTCCTGCTTTGCTTGTCTGCTCTTTATCGACTCTGCTTTATGTCCTAATCACTTTTTAATTGATCTGCCTGTTTACTGTCTCTGGATTTAATTGCTTTGGTGGTTTGTGATCCTGTTTTGTTCGCCTCTCTGTGAAACATGTTAACTTTTCTGAAGTGTGAAATAACTCAGGTTTAGAACTTTTTCTCTAATGAGACATAATGGTTGCGTGGGATTTAATTAGTTTTTCTGTCAGGAGAAACTTTGCAGCTGCTGTTCTGACTTTATCATTTTAAATGTCTGAGAAACTTCAATGGACTAACTGGGGTCAGAAACCTGATTCAAATCCTGATGCATCTCCATAAAGTCCTGCTGTTTTCCACAGTTGTTCATATTTTGCTGCTATGAGACAAAATGTATGAACATTTAATCATTTTCAAATAAATGTTTCATTCTCTTATTATAAAAGGTTCTTAAATCTCATAAATTCTTTATTCAGTCATAATAAAGTTCAGTTTACTAATAATTTCATCCTGGACTTTGGCATTTACAATGTGAATTAGACTGACATCTGGTGTGAGTTTTAAAGCTGGGCCAGCAGCGGGTCTGGATCAGAACCACCAGAACCCGTCAGCCTTCTGTGGGCCAACTGCAGCAGGCCTTCGTTTCCAGGTTTCTGGAATTTACTGTAAATCCTAAACTAGATAAATATTCACTCATAATTAGAATGACTGCCTGTTTGGTTAAGCTACACAAATATGTGATGTATTTTTTTAAATTTATGGCGCATAATTTTATATCGTCTCATAATATTTGCCTGTTTCTTTAAAACCTGTTGCTAAATAATTAGTGATTGCGTCACATGATTTCCTTTTGGAAATCTGGTTGCAGTGATGAACTCAGGTCTGAACATTCAGAGACACATAAAGACGATTACAAAGTCGGTCTTCCATCAGCTGAAGACCATTTGGTCTATATGTGATTATTTGATGATGTTTTGTTGCTTATTTAACTGCCTTGTTGCTGAAACCTGATGTTCAGTTAAACTTGACTTGCTGTGACCAGGATGTTCATCTGTTGGACTCCGTGTCATTCACTCAGCAGTAACTTGTGTTTCTGGTTGGGTTTGTTTATTTTTTAAAGTAAAGTCAAAGGTTAAATTTGTTTCCAAACATGAATTCAAAGGACTCATAGATCGCTGATGTTTGTATTTGTCATCTGTGGGGTTTTCTGTGGGAGTGTCGGGTTTGCGTGTCTGATCCAAACGGACAGAAGTTCATCCCCACAGTGGAAACATTCCTGACTTCATCAGATCCAGACTCTGAAAGTTGCAGCTTATTGTCCCCAAAGTCATCCACTCATCATAATTACCGCCGAGTTTTAGTTTTATTGCATGTTGGGACCAAAATGCGCTGAATGCACGAACACATTTTGGTGAAACATTAACCTCTCAAATGTCACTGTTTGCTCACAGTTTGTTTTGAAACACACAAACCTGCACACACACACACTGCACACACACACACACACACACACACACACACACACACTGCACACACACACACACACACACACACACACACACTGCACACACACACACACACACACACACACACACACACACACACACACACACACACTGCACACACACACACACACACACACTGCACACACCCACACACACACACACTGCACACACACACACCCACACACACACACACACACACACACACACACACTGCACACACAATGAGTCCATTCACTCCTCCAGCTTCTTTCTCTCCTCTGTTCGTGTTCTGATGTGTTTTCTGGATTCGTCCACATGGTTCACTTCACTGAGTAATGGTGCTAATTAACAGAAGCAACTGGGAAAAAGTCCAAAGTTTCCAGCTATTATAACCTTTTGATCCAGAGTCAGTCAGTCTGATCTTCATGTGTGGAGTAAAACAGCACAACAGCTTCAACGAATCAGCAACAGCAGTTAAAACATGCAGCAGCTTTTTGCTCACGGTGGAGCAATAACTTCTAACTTCAGTGTTGATTCTTTTAAAGCAGCAGAGATTTGTTCACATGACCAGCTGCAGGTTTCACAGCTTCTTTCACTTCTGTGAAAATTTGCCTCTGCTTTTCATCAAACTCTCCGCAACCTGAACACAGAGCAGACATCCGCTTCTAATTTCCTCCAAGAGAAACCACACGTCACTGTGCAACCCCAGAAACTTCATGTGTATCTCTGCCAGCCTCACTGGACTCTTATGAAAGGAAAAGCAAAATTAAACTGTGAATTTATGGACCTGCTGCCAAAGCTAATTTTACCAAAGTTAAACTTCTTGTGCTCCATTTGTGAAGTAATTGCATGAGGTTCATGCAGCAGCACTCTAACATAAAGCCCACAGATTCATGTCTTTTCTCGTTCAGCTGAGTGGAACCAGAATCCAGAACGATGAACCGGACTTACCTGACTGATTTTCCCCAAAATGTCTCTCAGGAAAAACTCCAGAGGTTTTTCCTTCTTCTTCCAGCTTCAGGTCCTCCAGTGAAGGTGTGTGTTGGTTGTGTTCAGTTCCTCCAGTGAAGGTGTGTGTCGGTTGTGTTCAGGTCCTCCAGTGAAGGTGTGTGTCGGTTGTGTTCAGGTCCTCCAGTGAAGGTGTGTGTCGGTTGTCTGAGCTCCTCTCGGTGAACTGGTGACAGGGAGAGCAGCGCTGCTTTGTGCTGCCGACCTCAGCGACTATGTTAGTGCAACTGACTGAGTGACTGGGAGAAAGCGAGGGTGTGTGTGTGTGTATGTGTGTGTGTGTGTGTGGGTGTGTGTGTGTGTGCGTGTGTGTGTGTGTGTGTGTGTGTGTGTGTGTGTGTGTGGGTGTGTGTGTGGGTGTGTGTGTGTGTGTGTGTGCGTGTGTGTGTGTGTGTGAGGGAGATTAGCACACACACACATCTCTCCCGCCTGCAGGGAAACACCCCCTCTCCCTCCTCATTGCTGCCTCCCTTCTTTCTCTCTTTTCGTCAGGTCTGTGCTTTTCATGCGATCACCTTGAAGGACTCATGATGGAGCAAAGCCCCCTCCTCTTCCTCCTCCTCCTCTTCCTCACATTTACTCCTGCACGGTTTGGGTTTCAACCTCTCCTTCCTTGCAGCCAGTTTGCTGTTGAGTCTCCAGAATCGTAAATCAGTTACACAAAATGACATCAGCAACAAAACAACCCAAATATCAGCATCAATTAATGTCATTTTTCTCTCATTTTGGAGTTTTTCTGTAACACCTCAAAGCAATTTAAGGTTAAAATTAACAAAACATCTTTAATGGTTTAATTTAATAAAATCTTTTGATTAGATACTGGGATAAAATTTGTCATGATCAATTAATAAATGAAAAATAATATCAGAAAATGTTTAAAAAATAAATACAAGACAAAATATCGAAAAATAACCTAATAATATTAATAATAAATTATATTAAATAAATAAAAAACCAAACAAATATGAATGAAATAAAGAATAACTTGACAGACAGAAACTCTTGGATCAATTTTTCCGCCTCCTTCTCCAGGTTTAAGCTGCAAATCGATACCTGAAGCTGAATAAATGAGCGCAGATGAAAACGAGGCTCGGCCCGGAGGAGCCGCCCGGCTCGGCCCGGAGGAGCCGCCCGGCTCGGCCCGCTTTGAGTCCATCGCAGTTATTACAGCGCTCTGCGTCAGCCAGCTAATCTGCCCTGGATCCACAGTAAACTGCTCTGCAGGGGGTCCAGCAGAGGTGGCATTTTTTTGTTGTTTTCAAGTATTTATGCTCCATAATTTCAGGTTTGAGTTTCCACTGGATTGTTGCTGGAGTGAAACGAGGTTAACGCGCCGACTTTCAGCTTTAATTTCTGCATGTTGTGGTAAACATGGGGGTAGAGTAACTCATCTCACCCCCGCCGCCCCCCAGGCCCTGCTGGCTGCTCTTCATATGTGGATGCAGGCGACCTCATTTCAGATATTCAATATTCAGCCTTTCGCCATACACACTGCTCAGGCATTAGCCAATGTTGCCCTGATTACAGTTTTTCTATCAATAAAATATTCAATGCATGCTTGTATCATCTGCAGCTGTCTCATAAAATAACAGACAACATCTCTGAGCTCAAAGCTCCCGGGTAAAAGAATAATGCTGGTTTTATTTTATTATTTTCATAGTGAGTCTTCTAGAGACTTATTGAATTCTTTATAACTTCTCTGCTGTTTTTAGTCATGAATCCAAACTTTCACATTTCAGGTTTCTTTCCCTCCAACGTTGGCTGGAACAAGAACAGAAGAAGCCTCATACCTTCAAGGCAAGAAGCGAATATATGGGTTTGTGTTTCAACATACTGGAAGTTTGTAAAATAGTGAAACCTGGTAACCAGTGAAACTCTGCATTGCTCTGAGTGAAGCTCTCCGCTGGCCTTTGCAGAGGAAACGTCTTTGTTTCAGCTGTTGCATGTATGAAGGCGCTTTGGCTACATTCCTGACCACTTTCATTCATTTCATTCATCTTTGGTGGATTCTCCAAAGTTCAGATCGACTTATTGCGCCGTCCCATCTGGTGTACCACACGGTTCTGTTTTGGGCATCCTGCAGTTCTGTAATTTATTCTCCGTCTTGGGCACATTCTTTATTGAAGATCTCTTATCAGAGATATGCAGATAATATTTAGTTGTCTAATTTCTTTATCCTTGTTAAGTCTCTAAGCGACAGACTAAAGACTTTTCCAATCCAGCATCATGTTGCAGACAGACGGGTTGACTGGTTTGAATCCATGAAGAACTGGAACGTCTTTGTTTCAGAAGGAAACTTCTCATCCAAACAGACAGAAATCACATGTGAGGCACCCCAGGGTTCAGTCCTGGGACCCTCCTGTCTTCCATCCCGCTGGTTCAGGTCATAACAAGTAATATTGGTTACCGTAACGACAGAGCTCCACCTTACGATGTCACCTGGTGGCTGAACCGTCCAATCACAGAACAGAGGCTCAGATAAATGAGCCAAAACTTTCTCCAACTGAACAGAAACAAAACTGAAGTTATTATCTCTGGACCTAAAGAGGAACGACGAAGAGTCGACACACAGCTTCAGTTACTACAGCTGGAAACCAGAGCTGAACTTTGACCTGAACCTTCAGAGCCACATAAAGACGGTTACAAAGTCGGCCTTCTATCAGCTGCACAACATTTCCAGGGTTGGAGGACTGAACTCATCCGGACATTTATCTTCAGTCACATTGGTTACTGCGACAGCGTCTTCACAGATAAAAACATCCCTGAATGGCTCAGAACCACAATGGATTAAACATCCCAGAACCTGTCAGAACCAGCCAGAACCAGTCAGAACCTGTCAGAACCAGTCGGGTCCTCTGGTTCTGGGGACCGGGTTGCTCAAAGGGTTCGGTCGGTTTGTAAAAGAACCACAGCAGCTGAAAACATAAACATGTAGCAGTTCTGGTTGATCCAAATCCACGGCTCCATCATCAACCCAGACGCAGAGAGTTTAATGGATCTAAGGCTCAAAAACAATACTTGCCTCTCATATGATGAATAAAACTTCATATTTTGAATGTTTCAGTTTCCAAACTTATATCTGGCATTTTCTGTGCTGACGTTTTCTCATCTTGGTTCCTGATTAGATGTTGTTTTTCCTCCTCCACAGGGTCCAGAGGTTCTGGACCGGCTGGTGTAGCTGCTGCTCTGTGGCCTACATTCAGACGTGTTTGCAGCGGTGACGGGGGCGGGAGCCGCTCAGCTCTCTAACAAAGCTCCTGCAGCAGCTGAAACCTGGAGCGTCTGCGTTATTAACACCATGTTGCTGTCGAGGGTGCTGAGCAGCTTTTCTTTTTTCCGTCTCAAACAGAAAGCTGACCCCCTGTAGAGCTGCTCAGCAGGGGGTCTGCGCTCGCCGCGCCTCCTCTCCTCCACCTCACACCCCCGGGAGACACTTTATGATCTTTATGTCTTTGGAAAGATTTGAACCAAAAGCTCTGGAGAGACTCGTTATTCCTTGGTCTGTGAATCTTTGTGGTTCTCGGTGGATTTCTGTGGTTTTGCCTCAGTTTGTGTCTTAAATTTCATTCTTTCATCGCTCAGCTTTGTTTGCATCGTTTCCTTTCCTTCGTCTGATAAATGAAGATCCTCCACAGTTTGTTTCCAGATTCTCTTTGCTCTCATGTGTCTGAGCTTCACTGAAAACACAAACAGACTAAATTTCTCTTTATTTCTAGTCGTCCAAATAATTTTCACTGAAACCACGTTCACATGATTGGGATCATAAACACAGGAAAGGCCTTCAGGAGGAAGTTGGAATCAAACTCACAACTCTCAGATTGCAAGACTATCACTCTCCCATGAGCAATAATCAATAACTACCTTTATTGATCATTTCCTGAGAGTTTGGGCCTGCAGTCTGGTTCTGGTATCTGTTAATGACCAGAACCTGGAACCATCTGGTGAATCTGAAGCCGTCGTTTTAAACCTGATTAAATCAAAACATGTTGAAGGTTTAAACGCCGCCTCCCTGCTGACGCCGTTCGTTGGGTTTCTGTCTGATCAAACGTCACTTTGCCGTTAGGATTGAAATCTGTCAATAACTGAAGCAACGTGTCTGAGATTAAAGCCTCTGTTTGTGTTTTTCATGGTCTAACTGGGAGTGGACCAGCTGATACTGGAACGTTGAATGGAAATGTCCAGCCTGGACTTCCTGGACCGTTGCTTGGCGTCATGGCGTCATGACATCATGGCGTCATGGCGTCATGACATCATGGCATCATGACGTCATGGCGTCATGCCGGAGTCCACTGAGCCTCTCAGAGGAGACAGAAAGCCTGGCTGATGGAGTTTATGTGGAAGTTATCGGTGGATCCAATGTGGGTCCAGGATTTTTCCTCATTTCCATGAACATATTTCAGTTGGTAGCACTAATGCCTTGCATCAAGAAGGTCCTGAAAATAATTATTTTCAGCTAATCTGAAAATAATTGGACATCATGGTTGAAAGAGGATCAGTTTTTACCAAACTATTTGAAATCGTTAAAGTTTTGAAGCTGATAATGTTTCCAGGATGTCTCTTGAGGTTGTTAATGTTGTTGCTCAGGACTCTCCGTCTGCAGAGGTTTGTTGTGTCTGGAGCCTGGAGACGCTCCAGCGTGACGCTCCTCTGAGCCTCTGGGGCCGCAGACGACAAACAGGAAGGAAAAACTGACAGGAGGAGGAGGAGGAGTTAGGAAAGGAAGAGAAAACAGGAAGAAACATTCAGTGGTTTTAAGATTAAATAAAGAGGAAGAAAGAAAGAAAAAAGTCCTGATGAGTCTCGTTTGAAATGAAAAACAACCTTTAACCAAGAACTAAACATGCTTTTAATTAAACCCATATTTCTATTTTTAAAAAGGTTTTTTTGTTAATTTGATGTAATAATTTTAAATGTCCAGTTTTATAACTTTTATTGAGGGTTTTCAAACATCCATCTATGTTTCACTTAATGAAAATAGATCATTTAATTTACTGAATGAGTTCGCAAATTAATAATTAAACTAGATTATTGAGTTTGCTCTTCAAAAAGCCAATCAGATCAGTTCATGTTGTTCTCAGAAACATCTAATTCATCAGGTCACTGTAAAAGTTACATTTTATTGGAATTAAATTCAACGTTGTGGAAAAGTTTCAACACAGTTATGTGCAAATGTTTCCACAAAATGCATATTAACAACATATTAAAGATCCTTTATATGATGGAAGATGGAAGATGAGAAAGTTCTGCTTATTTTAGATTTATCAGCTGAATAATATAGAGCTGCAAACATAGAAACAGAAGATTATTAGACCAGCAATAAGGACAGAATAAAGTTTTGCTTTATGATGACAAAAATCAGCTGATTATTTAAGTTCCTACATTCAGGTTGTCATATATCTGTTGGCTCTTGTTTCTCACTGCAACATTTAATGTTTTAGAAAGAAAAAAACTTTGAAATGTCATTATTAAAAAAAACATCTGATGTTTTCCGTTCTGGTTCACAGTAGAAGGACTGTCACTCATTTTATTTGTCTATTTCTGATAACTGATATAATTTAAAGTCGAAAGATTTAAACATTCAGTTCAGTGTCAGCAGAAAATGTTGAGGGGAAAAAGTTATTTAGATTCTTTCTTCCTATCAATGTTTAATATTAATGTAATAAAATCCATTAAGTCTCATAGAAGTTATTTATTTCCCTGAACACAAAGACATTGGAATAAAGGCATCAACAATGTTCTCACAGCGCCACCTGGTGGACACAAATATTCACTGCAGAGATAAATATAATTTTCATCAGACTGAAAAATCCACTGCAAATAAAAACTGAAGTCATTCAGTGAGTTTATTGATGACGATCAGAACAACTTTATGGAGTTTCACCAACAATAAAATAACTAAAAGGATTTAAAATTTTCTCTCATTGGCAGAAAATCATCAAAATATGAAACTGAAATAAGATTTTAAAACTTCACTTTGATTCTTTATGTTTTGGTAGATATTAAAAGTCATTATTCTGTATTGTTTTTTAATATAAACAATAAAATCAGGAATATAACTTTGTTCTCCGCTCACATATTTAACTCCACTTACTGAAAGCAGAAAGCAGAATCATATTTATTGGATAAAAGAGTTAATTATATAATTCAATGGCTTTATGTATAAAATCAGCTCTTTTACCAAGAGAACAAGGAAATTACACTGCAGAAAAAAAGCACAACGTTCACCCGGAAGAGTTGCACAATAACCTGTTGAACCGGAAACGTCACTGAGAGGAAAATGAAAGTATTTTAACCGATGAAAAGGAGCCGAGACGCCATTACAGGGTGGAGATCTGAGCTGAAAGACGAAGGTTTACTGGAACTTAAAGAAAAGCTGCAGAAACTTTGACCTGGTGATTTCTGGTTCTGGAGGATTTCTGTAGAAAATGGCAGAAAACACGGCTCTGTTGGAACGTTTCCTGAACTGCAATGTTTGTTCAGAGACGTTCAGAGATCCTGTGTCTCTGAGCTGCAACCACAGCTTCTGTTCAAGCTGCCTGCAGAAATTCTGGGAACAAACTGGAAACAAGAATTGTCCCATCTGCAAAAGGAAATCTTCTAAGGACTTTCCATATGTTAACTTCTCTCTGAAGGAACTGGCTGATTCTTTCACTGGAAGACAGAAATCTGGATCCTCAGAGACAGAAACAGGAGGAAAGCAGCTGATGGTCTGCAGTAAACACCAAGAAGACACTAAACTGTTCTGTGAAGACGAGCAGAGAGCTGTGTGTCCTGTCTGTGACTTTTTTCTCCACCAGAGTCACAAAGTGGTTCCTATTGAACAAGCAGTCAGAGATCTGAAGCAGCAGCTGAAATCGGACTTAGAGTCTCTGCAGGACAAGAGGAACAAACACAAACAGGTGGAGAAAACATACGATGATGTGATTCAACACTCCAAGAAGCAGCTGCTGTCCACAGAGAGACAGATCAGAGCAGAGTTCAACAAGCTCCACCAGTTCCTGAGAGAGGAAGAGGAGTCCAGACTGGCAGCTCTGAGGGAGGAAGAGGAGCAGAAGAGGAAGACTATCAGCAGAGAGATGAAGAGGATTGAGGAGCAGATCTCCTCTCTGTCAGACAGCATCTCTGCTGTTGAAGAAGAGCTGCAGAAAGACAACGTGTCGTTCCTCAGCAGTTATAAAGACACTCAGAGCAGAGCCAGAGGTCAGAGGTCACTGCCAGACCCACAGGTAGTCCCAGGAGCTCTTATAGATGTGGCCAAACACCTGGGCAACCTGTCCTTCATAGTCTGGGAGAAGATGAAGGACAAGGTGAAGTTCAGTCCCGTCATTCTGGACCCAAACACTGCAAATGGATGGATGCACCTGTCTGATGATCTGACCAGGGTGAGTCATGGAAACACAGAGCAGCAGCTTCCCGATAATCCAGAGAGAAACACTAAATATAACAATGTTTTTGGTTCTGAGGGCTTCAGCTCAGGGAAACACAGCTGGGAGGTGGAGGTGGGAGATCATCCTGGCTGGATAGTCGGTTTAGCTAAAGAGTCTGTTGACAGGAAGGGAAAGATACTTGTTTCACCAAAATATGGAATCTGGTGTTTATGGCATCGTGATGGAAAATACACCAACAGTGATGGTAAAACTCTGAAAGTGATGAAGAGTCTCCAGAGGATCAGAGTCCAGCTGGACTATGATGCAGGGGAGGTTTCGTTCTACGACTGTGAAGAAAAGAGTCACATCTACACTCACAAAGACACTTTCACTGAGAAACTCTTTGCTTATTTTAATGTTGGAAAATCTGCTGATGCCAAAACATCTGAGATCAAAATCTGTTAACCTGATATTTCTGTTTAAAGTTCAAACTTTTCTGTTTTAATTCCTGAGTCATTTTGCATTTTTAATCAGTCTCTCTATTTGCAATCAGACTGACTTTCATTTTAAATCCTTAATAAATGTCTTTCATCATTTTAAGGTTTTTAACTTTTATTTGAAATTAACAGAAATAAATCATTAAATATTTTGATTTTTAATTTTTCTGTTAATTTGAATTTGTATGAAAGTTAATTTTATGAATATTTTGTCTTCAGTTTTTCTTGTCAATTAAATAGAAAAATGTAAAAAGTGTTAATGTTCAGACATGATCCAATATTTAATCATCAATCAATATCTAAAATTCTCTCACAACCATTTCATATTTCTTCATATTCTGTTAAATTAAAACAAAGATGATAATTTTTAGCTTGTTTTTACGTTTTGTAAAAACTTATTACAAGTTCAGAAAAGGAAACAAATATTTTTACAAGCTACAAACGTGGTTCTAATCAGACATTTTTTAATTCTGTAATGATTCATTTTAGCAATAAAACATTTATAAATAAATATTCAGATTTACTTTTCTCTGTTTTCTGCCCTGATTTTTCTGATTTTTCAGTCTAAAACTGATTTCTATGAGATTCAAACAGTTGATCAAAATTGCCTGTTAGCTTTATAAGTTTCTTCATGGATTAAACATGTTTATTTTTATTTGGCTGCTGAATTAAACTCTGTGGTTCACTGAGTTTAAATGACGTTACAAACACAGGAGGCAGATTTATTAGTCCAGATGTTTATGCTGATTGAAAGCTTTGGATGTCAAAAGGTTTTATTTCCTAAACATTTCTCAGAATCAGTTTATTTCTGATGGCAGATTTTGGATGAAAGCAGAACTTTTCCAGACAGAAGTTCTGCTGTTTGATCAGAAACTTTCTGCTGAGCAGATCCACCATCTAAATGTGTGAAGCCGTTGCTAACAAGGTTTTCCTGATATCTGCCTCTTCTCATTATAAAACTGAGACAGGATTCAGAGAATAACATCAAAACCTGCTTCATCTTTCACAGATATAAGCATATATAGTCTCTTCCAGAGTCTCCTGGTTCTGCTGCAGCCCGGATCCTTCAGTTTGGACCTCTAGTCCTGTCCAGGGTTCCTGTGAAGGATCACAAAGTAAAGTGACCAACTCGGTCCACTGACCTGATGTTCTGATCTCTGGACCATCAAGCTCCTGATGCCAAGGTCCAAAACCAGCTCCGACCCGAAACCGTTTCTTCTCCTGGATCAACACCAAATATTTGACAGTCGGTTCAGGATGGATCTGCAGTGAGCTGGACAGGGATTAATGTAAATGTTCTGATTCAACTCTGTATTTAAAGAGATGGAAATGAAAACATGCAACAAATCACACATTAAGAATAATTGTTTCAAATTATTCAAAGATTCTATGATCCCATCTGAATTCACTCACTGGAAACTTCAAGAGGCGTTCAGGGACTCGGGTGTGAGGTACGAAGACGCCTGCAGGCTCGTAACTATCATCTGAGTACAAGCTGCATGTTTGGTGACCAACCAACTTGACTTCTCACAGAAAACAGGGTCCAGAGCAGAACCGGGTCCAGAGTCCTCATGTTTCTGTGCAGGATAATAAGCTTTGTTATCCTCCTTGTTGGAGGATAATAAAGCTTAAATTGCATTGAAATGCATCTGAACAGAGAGTCAAGGGTCAATGTGCAGCACTAAGTATGATCATAAACATATTATCAGGGTTAAACATCAACTTTACATTAAATATTCAGATCATCCAATGTGTCAAAAACCTTATTAAAAGTTAGAGAGTAAGTTAATGTGGTGAACTGGGCTGGTGGCAGAATCCACAGTTTGGTTTGAAACAATCTGACATTTAAATATTGAAAAAGAACCAAAAAGCCTCATTTATATCTGAACTAGTTTTCTTCCTTCACAGCTGATTTTTCTCACATCGATCACTTTCTCTTCTTAAGCCTTTTCTAAAAAACTCAGAATGACAGGAGAGGAATTAGATCTGAACTTATTAATGAAACCTTCATGTCAGAAAACACAATATGTGATTTTAAAAAATACATTCATCTGTTTACTTCATGTTACAATATAAAAAGTAATCAGCCTAATGTGACAGTATAATAATCAGAATGCTGCTGTCTAATTGTGAAAAGTCCTCCAACAGCGCCACCTGTTGGATGGAAATACTCACAGTAGATTGTGTTATGAAGCATGTCACAGGTCAAAGTACAAAAACTCAGACATTTTGAAGAGGCTTTAGACGCCATGACTTGATTTTAAAGCTCTGCTAAAAACCAACAAATGTTTGGAAGATTTTAGGAAGAAGCAGCTGAAACTTTTGGTGAGTCGAACTGCTGAAATAATTAAATACAAAATGGCAGAGAGAGCTCTTCTTGAGGAGTTTCTGAGCTGCCATGTTTGTTCAGAGACGTTCAGAGATCCTGTGTCTCTGAGCTGCAACCACAGCTTCTGTTCAAGCTGCCTGCAGAAATTCTGGGAACAAACTGGAAACAAGAATTGTCCCATCTGCAAAAGGAAATCTTCTAAGGATTCACTAATAATTAACTTCACTCTGAAGGACCTGGCTGATTCTTTTACTGGAAGACAGAAATCTGAATCCTCAGAGACAGAAAAAGGAGGAAAGCAGCTGATGGTCTGCAGTAAACACCAAGAAGACCCTAAACTGTTCTGTGAAGACGAGCAGAGAGCTGTGTGTCCTGTCTGTGAGTTTTCTCTCCACCAGAGTCACAAAGTGGTTCCTATTGAACAAGCAGTCAGAGATCTGAAGCAGCAGCTGAAATCGGACTTAGAGTCTCTGCAGGACAAGAGGAACAAACACAAACAGGTGGAGAAAACATACGATGATGTGATTCAACACTCCAAGAAGCAGCTGCTGTCCACAGAGAGACAGATCAGAGCAGAGTTCAACAAGCTCCACCAGTTCCTGAGAGAGGAAGAGGAGTCCAGACTGGCAGCTGTGAGGGAGGAGGAGGAGCAGAAGAGGAAGACTATCAGCAGAGAGATGAAGAGGATTGAGGAGCAGATCTCCTCTCTGTCAGACAGCATCTCTGCTGTTGAAGAAGAGCTGCAGAAAGACAACGTGTCGTTCCTCAGCCGTTATAAAGACACTCAGAGCAGAGCCAGAGGTCAGAGGTCACTGCCAGACCCACAGCTGGTCCCAGGAGCTCTGATAGATGTGGCCAAACACCTGGGCAACCTGTCCTTCAGAGTCTGGGAGAAGATGAAGGACAAGGTGAAGTTCAGTCCCATCATTCTGGATCCAAACACTGCAAATGGATGGATGCACCTGTCTGATGATCTGACCAGGGTGAGACGTTTGGACGCAGAGCAGCAGCTTCCTGATAATCCAGAGAGAAACTCTGGATATGCCAATGTGTTTGGTTCTGAGGGCTTCAGCTCAGGGAAACACAGCTGGGAGGTGGAGGTGGGAGATCATCCTGACTGGATAGTCGGTTTAGTTAAAGAGTCTGTTGACAGGAAGGGAAAGATTTCTTCTTCACCAGAAAATGGGATCTGGTGTTTGCTGCATCGTGATGGAAAATACACCAACGGTGACGGTGAGACTGTGACAGTGATGAAGAGTCTCCAGAGGATCAGAGTCCAGCTGGACTATGACAGAGGGCAGGTTTCCTTCTACGACTGTGAAGAAAAGAGTCACATCTACACTCACAGAGACACTTTCACTGAGAAACTCTTCCCTTACGTTTATGTTTTTGATGCTGCTGATGCCAAAACTCGTGATATCAAAATCTGTCAACCTGAGATTTCATTCTACAGGTAATAGTTGTGATTCTTATTTCTTATTTTAGATATGCATTTCTGTTTTGGAACCTTTTGGAACATTCTGGATCATTTTCAAACTTTTTGGATTTCGATCTGTAAAAATCGATCAGAGTTTACAGGTGAAATATACATTTAAGATTCACATTTAAAATATGTTCTTACTTGAGCAAAATTATGAAAAAATATATTTGTATTTTTTTTAATGTAAATATTTTTGTTTTCTTGTTAAAATGAGAGAACATGGTGTAAAATATCAGCTGTGAGGAGCAAGACAGTGAGACTGTGTTTTTATTGTAATTATGAAATGTACAAAATTGTTCGGATAATATTTCTTTAACTGGAGCAAATATTTCATGATCATAATGTGTTTAATGCAGTAAACTGTAATTTAAACAATGATAATTATTCTTAGTTTGTTTTTAACTGTTTTGTAAAAACTGTTCAGAAGTTCAGGACTGGTTCTTGGTGTCAGTTTTGTTTTTAATTGTTGTGACGATTCACAACAATTACCTGTTATAATAGTCCAGTGATAAGTTATGTTGACCAAATGCTGTAGATTTCAAATGATTTGTTTCCTGAAACATTTATTTATCAGAACCAGTTAATTTTCAACAGCAGATGTTTTCTAACAGCAGTTTGTCAGAAATGTTCTCCTGAACAGATCCGCCATGATCTCTGATCTCTGATCTCTGCATGATTCACATAACAGACAGGAGTCACAGCACAAAGCATAGAAATCTGTGGCTCATCTTCATCGGAGAATTACAGTAAAAATATTAATACTGTCATAAAACTCAATACGGAGCTTTCTGCTGTCTCCCTGTAATGTCTGCTGATATAGAAACACTGAACTGAATGTTTCCTGCTTGCAGAATAAAAAGGCTTCAGTCTTCATGTGTTTTCCGTCCACAAATGGTTTGAATTTGGTTACTGATCTAAAGTTGAAGGATGTTAGAGAAGCAAACCGTTCAGCTGCTCTGATGTCCTCACAGCTCCCCCTGCTGGAGACAAACCCACAGAGCAGCGATGACTCAAATGACGTCGACGCCTCAAAGCTTCACTGAGTCAGAAACGGTTGGAGAAACGGAATTTCAGAGCTTTCCCTGAAGGCAACAGCGGGAACGCTAACGGTTCCCCAGCAGTTTGTGTGTTTAAACCGGGTTGAAAGTGCCGTTTGGAGTCGTAATTTAGCACAAACAGTGTGTGTAAAACTGATAAAGAGTTTAAAGACCAGGAGGAGAACATGGCGGAGAATATGAGCTCTGAGGAGCAAGAGAGGTCCTTATTTTTGGTTCAAATTCGTTATTTAGAGGATGAGCTGGACAGGTGAGACTGTTATAATGTAAAAATGTTCTAATGTGTTTGTTTTTGCTTTAAATACAAGCCTAAGTGATTTAGTAAGTCTAAAAAACGGGTTTTAGCTCATTTACAAGATGCTAACACGATAAACAGCCACTTCAAAGGGAGTTGTTGTAGCTATGACAACTCAGCTAGTTGTCATAGCTAGTTGCTAGTTGAGAATAAAAATATTACATGTCTTTTGCTGTGAACTAAAATACAAAGATCATTCACTAATGTCGCATAACAGGAGTTCTGTTTATCTGTGCTGCCCGTAAATGCGTCCTACTTTATGGTAATGCGCATGCGTATATCGATGCTACGTCACATACCGCTTACTCAGCAGATTTTTTATAAGACCGGAAGTTTCTTTCATGCGTTTTATTTCATAGAAATAAGGGTAAGCTTTATTTAATTAGACTGTTTTTGATATTTCATTACTACATTTGGTGGGCTGCACAATTTTAAGCGTAAAACACGCAAATTTGTGAAATAGTTCAGCAAGAGGACAATTAAATGTTTTTACATTAAGACGTAAAAACATTACATTGCACTGGCATAATGAAGGAAAGCTATATGTTGACCACAGACTAAAATGAATGATGTTCCAATCATTATTAAATTATTTTTACAGTTTTGATTTAAAGAAAAATTAGCAGCAGGGTGAGCTGCAGGCTTGAACTGATTTTTTTGGGCCTCCAACTCCAAGTTAAATAAAGATAGACATTTTTTTAATTAAAGTTTTTATTTTTAATCAGCATAAAATTATCACATTTTCTTGTTATGAAAAATATTAAGAACACAAAATATTTGTGTTTTTACAATCAAACTTTTATAATCAGTAGAACCTGCAGATCCACAGGTTTTTACTGAAAAGCAGACTTTGCTACATCCAAGTGAGATTTTATACAATTTATTACACTTGGCTAAATACAGAAAGGATTTTGAAAGAAAGTGACCCAGTTTTAAACTAGTCAGTGATTTATAAACTAACAGAAGTGTTTCATGTGACTTTCTTTATCCTCTATTATATAATTCAATTGTATTTTAAAATAAATAAATATGTAATTCTACCAAAAACTGAATGGTAAAAGTCTCAAGTTTGGTGTTTTGGTGTTAATTAGTTCCTTTTTGAAGGTCAGTTTTGTTTAAGGAAACTTCATAATTAATTTTATTTGTTGCTTCTTTTGTTTTGTTTATTTAAATATTCATCAGAATCTAAAGTTTATGAATCTGTTCTTCCATTATTTTGCATTATATCACCTGAAAGTCTCAAAACAACAGTATTACTGTTTATCACCATAACTTCTGGGATAATTTATCATCTAACACAATTTGTTAATGTATCACTATTTAATGTAGTAAAGGACTGGATAGCATCTGGGATCAGATGGTATCAACTGGAGCTGTTGTCAGTAATCAATAAAAACAATATAAAATAATAACTGCTTTCAATACTATGTATTTTAAAGAAGAAAAATTAAGTAAACACTACAAGACATAAAACATACATAGAACCAAAAAAAGAAAGACCATAAATATATACCCAGTGCTGCAGTAGATGTTCTATATATGGATGTGCACAAAGAGTCCCAACTGTCCCCGCTGGTCAGCACAACGTCTGAACGACACACATTGTCCAGGTACTTGAGAAAATGTCCAAGCGTGATTCATTTCCGATGAAAAGAGGATGAATAATGAATTGTGTGCATGCAGAGAGATGGTGGGGGAAATATTATGGACCATCAGCCTCCTACCAGACCAGCATGGAGTCTCAGGTTCTCCTGGCTCCAACCAGCTGTCAGAAACTCACCATCCTTCAACCCAAAAGGGTCACCTGAAATAAACAGGACCAGTAAATTACCAGTCTGATAGTTTTTTCAGTTATATACAGAAATAAATGCAATTATATCTACAATCAAATCTTTAAGACAAAAATAAAGATGTCAGCATTCATTATCTTAAACACAAGTATTGAACTTAAAAAGTTAGATTATGTGTTTGATGATCAAACAATTAGCATTGGCTACCACCACCAACAAGCCAAGCAAACAAAATAACATAATACTTCTCACCAATTCCATTTATAGATCAGTGATTACAACTTCATGGCTCCAAACTCACTGGATTCTCAGATCTATATGATTTTCATATTGGGAGTTTTTAAAAGCGCATAAGAAACAAATAGATAACTCATTGTTTGGAAGCACAAACCTGTGAAAACCCACTTCAGGTGCAGTGATTGGCTGAATGCACAGTGTGACTGACTGTCACTCTCACCAATGGAGCAGCAAAGGCCGGATTAAGGGCAGTTTTCACCCTGGGTTACATTATCATGATAAAAGATCATAGCAGTTTGAGGCAATAATCAATGAGGTGCCAACAGCGCCCCCTGGAGTCACAGTCTTGTATGTTTAAACAATTCATTTCAATACTGCGTTCTGATTGGCTGGATGTCTGGTTGTAAATGGGGTTTTGAACCAATCAGGCTTCTGGTGAGGCTCCATGCAGCCCAAACTTTTTGCATTAATTTCACAACATTTCTAGGTTTTTCTTCCAGCTCATCCATTTTCATCCTGCAGATTTAAGCTGACAAGTGAAGAGCTGGACAAGCAGAACCAAGAGCTGATCTCAAATTACAACCAGCTGGAGAAGGACAAGAGGGACAAGACCGAGCGTTTGAAACGTTTTGTGGCGGCGAAAGAGAAGCGTATGGATGAGCTGAGCGAGGAGCTGCAGACGCGGCTCCTGCTGGGGAAACGCGGCCGAGAGACGCTGAAGCAGGAGCACAGCATGACGAAGCAGCAGCTGCAGGAGAGGATAAACGAGGTTCAGGCAGAGATAGAGCTGCAGGGTGGGACCGACACCGCGTTCACACACAGAGCAGCAAGAGAAGATCAAAAATATTCACGCCCAGCATGTTTTAGCTTTTTTATTGTTTTTACAAAATAATCACTGCAAAAACACAAAATCTTACCGAGTAGTTTTGGCCTAGTTTCTAGTGAAAAAAATTGTTTTAATTCAGCTTTGTTGTAGAATTTTTCAGCATTTCGACTGGACTCAAGCCTGAACTTTGACTAGACCACTCTAAAACCTTAATTTTGGCCATTTTGTGTGCTTTAGAGGTGGGCTTGCAGTATTGCTCTGTATAACCCAAGAGTGTTTAAGGTTAAGTTTACAAACAGATTGTTCCAGATCATCACACTACCACCACCATGCTTATCTACCTGAATTAATGAAGTTATTTGGAAAAAGCATTTTGCCTTTTCTTTTTTCACTGCACTGTCAGCTGATTTGAACAGATTCAACTCTCTTTGTCATTAACTATTGAAATAAATGACAGGAAATCCTTCAGCTTGAAGTGACAGAAAGCAGCTCACTATGTTCATCCACAGCTTTCTAAGCAGATGCAAATATGTTGCTCTCTGTTCACCCTGCTGTGTTTTTCCTCCAGCTGTGACGCTGGAGGAGAACGAGGAGCGCATCAATGAGCTGAGGCCGCATGTGCCGAACATAGAATCAGTGGAGGAGGAGCTTCTGAAGAAGAAAGCTGAGCACGACGTTTTTATCACCCAGCTGAAGAGGAACTCAGAGCTGGCGTGTGAAACGTAAAGAAAGCAGCAGACGGAGTATTTAACGCTCTTCTCTTCCTGGCTCTGAGTCGCTGTCGTCTAACCGCAGGCTGATCCAGCACTTCCAGGACTACAAGGAGCACACGGAGAACTGCGAAGCTAAAAAGCTGCTGGCGACGGGCCGAGCGCTGCACCTGGAGCAGACCGAACTCGCCGCCTTCCTGGTGAACGAGCAGGCCACTCTGAAGGAGGAGATCGCTGCCGTGAAGAAGAGACAGGCACACATTCGCTCCACCGGCCGGGGGCTGTGCAGGAAACTCACCTATCTGAGCCACCTGAGAAACGTCAACGTGCAGGTCAGAGACGGACGACGGCGGGTTAATACAGAGGAGAAAAGAACATTTCTGGGGTTTTTCTAGCAATTTTTCTGACTTTTGAAACCCAGAAAGGTTTGTGTTTTTTCTAGAACATTTCTGAAATGGCAGAAGTGTGTTCCTTTGTTATTTGGCAGAGATGTGACAAGCTGGCATCGTCTGCTGCTTTCAGCCTGAAGGAAATGCTGCAATGAAAACATTTTTCATCCATTATGAAAACAGAATCTCTGGTTTGTGGCGTCGTCTCTGTCGTGCTTCTCTGCAGGACGTGAAGCTTCTGAAGAAGGCGTTCGTGGAGCTCAAGGAAGAAAAAGCGGAAAGCATCAAGGACCAGGAAGCCACTCTGACTGAGACTGAAGCTCTCAGGTTGGATCTGTTTCCACAGCTCAAATATGACGACTTTATTTTTTAATTCTCTGGATGTTAAATCCTTTCAAAATGTCTTTAATAGAAGCTAGATGTTTTTCCTGAACAATCAACTTATTTTATAAAACTTTTTAACGAGACAAACTGATCAGAATCACTTTTGCAGACAGTTTTTGATACTTATGTCAAATATTGACACCCTGTGTCCAACTGGACCCTAATCTGTAACCGGATAAAAAACG